GTCAGTATGGCCCTCAAATTTAGAGATGAATGGGGAGATCAGAGCACATCTTGGGGCATCATAAAAAGGACACCCTAAAAGGACATGAGCAAGAGTTTCTACTTCTCTGGATCCACAACGGCAAAGTCTCTGTAAATAATGAGTCCCATGAAATCTTCCTGCCAGAAGATTGCTGAAGGGGGGACATCAAAGCAGGCTTTGGAAAAGGCCCATCTATATTTGCTTAGGGTTAGATTGTATCGATACCCCACAGTAGAGGGCTTGTGGTCATCTAACATTTGGTGATAGAATTCAGGAGCACTGGTGATATTTTGGCAATGTCCCTAATTCTTTCTTTTGCTATTGATTTGGCCTTTTCCAGGGTTAATTGGCCTAAATATTCTGGAGAGAGGCCAAGGCTGCAGTTCTTCTATATAAGTATGGTGCCAATGAGATTGGTAGCTGGCTACTGAATTTTGCCTTAGACTGAATCCTTCCTTCTAATTCCTTGACCCAGGGAGGTTAGATCTTAGGGATGTGAAAAATGTATTGATATGGATAGAGACCATTCCAGAGTATTTTCATTTCCCTCTGGACCATACTAACCTCCTTCACTGTGCCATTCTCAGAGATGATTCAATGGTTTCCTAAGATAAATCCTCTGAACTGGAAGCTGTTCAAGGTTTCTGGAAAAAACAAACCTGTTGCAGGCCTGGACTGCCTCAAACCACTCTATTTTGGAAGATTTACTTCTAAAAAAAACTAAGCCATCCCATGAGTTAGAAAGGTTGATCCAGAGGGAAAACAGGACATTTTAGAGTTCTTTGAAAACATCTATTCCTGGATCAAGAAATTTTGCACATTCGTATATTCATGTGCTCACAGCTTTTTGGATTTGCTTATTAATTCTAGCTATGTCTGGATCCAGTCTTTTGCACTATGGCAAGAAAGCACTAATTGGAAGACAGTTCTTTTGATAGACATTTTTATTCATGCTGAAGTCTTCTGCATAGTTTAAGAATATCAGAAAAAAAAATACTAAGAAAAATATACAGAATTATGGAAAGAGGATGGGGACAGTTGATAAAGTATTAGTGTTTATTTAAAGCTACTTCAGGTAAAGGAAGTGCACCTCTATTAATTTTTCAGAGCACATTGTGATACCAGTAGAAAACATTTGTGGAAGCTGCGTATCTGCTATTTAACTGAGCAGCCTTGATATTGCACCATTCAGCTTAAATTAGTTTTGCTTACAGATCACTTATTTAAAAAAAAAAATCCATGGTTCTTTCTAAGTATTACTTAACATACTTCAATTGTAAAAAGCCTGAGTATATCCACATTGTATCCTATTGTTTGACGATCAATGAAATAGAAGAATGATGAAAAGAATATGAAAATGGGTAGATCAGAAAGACAAAGTTTTTTTTAAAAAAAATAGCAGCTTTAAGAAAACACTGGATGCTTGTTTGCTGGGAACATGTGCAACATAACTGCATAAATGATCATACCTGTAAACCATATTATGTACAAAAATGCACTTTTTCTTTTTAATCTCATTTTGTCTACTCAGATCTTTGACAATTCTATGCAGTTCTATTCCAGATAGACACTTCCTATATGTGACTTATATAGTGAACATTATCCTTCAGGATTTTTTGTTCTTTTAAAAAACTAGTTAGGTTGTAAAAATGCATGTATAGATAGATCATCTTCTTACTAAAAGTGAACAATTTTGAAGAATTCTTGTTTAGTTAAAAAAAAACGGGGGTGTCCTTGATAGTTTTATTCCCCTGCATGCTATATATCTTCAGATCTTAAAATAAGCCAAGCTCTGATGCATTAAATACCAATACTAGAGGAATTAGAGCTTTGTATGTAGCAAGTAGTCCAGAATAACATACCTTTTTCCAAATTTTAAAGCATAAAGTATAATGAATAATCCCAAAGAACTTTTATACAAAACTGTCATTAAAAGAATAACATTGTTTGCATCTAGCCTTTAAAGCAAGCTTTAAGGAGAAAATATAATTCAAGGTTTTCCAATAGGGACATAGCAAGCATCAGGTTGCCACATGCGAAGGTCGACAAGCACTTGATTTAGCTTCTGCATCCAAAGATTACGCTCATCTTTAGTATCAGCTGATAACCAGTTCCTTTAAAGAAATGTAAGATTGAATATTAATTTATACATTCTCCTATACAGGAAAAATGGACTGTCTTAACAAAGGAAACTATCCAAAATTATTTTATTCACTGTAAAAAAGATATCACAATTCCAAAATCACCCTCATAACTTAATCAACAATGCTGATAACCAGGCCATGTGAACAACTAACATAAAGCAATCTATAATAGAGAAAATATATACTCAGCTCTTTGAGAAATACAATATGGATTTTAAAAGATGCTTACTTGGTAACACAGAGTGTGTCTCTGCATTGGCTAACAAGTGTTTCCTTATCATCTTCTCTCTGGGGTCGAACAGTAATTAGCTCAAAAGTATTGGGACGAGCACAGAATTCTCTGTTGGCTGGTTCAATCTGACGATTAGTGCAGTTTGCCAAGTTTATGGAGCCCAGTGGATGCTGAAATTAAAATATTTATTTATAGATTTGTTTTCTGCTTATAATGTTGTAGCATTGCCGAGGCTTACAGGAAAACAAATAAAGTACATAATAAAACTATTCAATAAAACCAACAAAATTATCAGACTAATTGGGAGGAAGAGGTTGAAGAAACTCCACGGAATCAGAGAATAAGACATTGTAGGCATTTATGTTCTTTCTGCAACTACATTAATATGCAAAAGATGTAAATGGCTGCAAATGATATAATTTGCATTATGCAAACACACAATTACATTATTATGCCATTACACAAATTACATAAATCACAACAAATCTGGGTTGCTGCATGTAGAATCCATAGCACGGAGATGTTTAAATGAAGTTTACTGTATTTTAAAAATGAAACATTAAAATAATGCATTCTAAACAACAATTCTTCTAGCATGGTGTGTTGTAAACTATTATGCTAAAATAAGTGCCTCTTGAATTCCAGGGAGGAAAGCTTTCTAGAGAAGGCCCACCCAATAGATGGCTTTCAGCAGTTCTTGGTACATGTAGCAGGATCTCCCTTGATGATCACACTGGAGGCTATATGACAAGTATCCTGGTCCCAAGTTGTTTAGAGCCTTGTACATCATAGCCAAAACATTGAACTTGCTTTAGTAGTTAATTTGCAGGTGGTGCAGTTGCTTCAATAAAGGTATAACTTGTACATGGCTAGTGCCCTACTCAACAATCTGGCCAATGAGTTCTGTACCAGCTGCAGCTTCCAGACCAAATGCAAAGTAGCCTCACAAAGATGTATTACAGTATAGTCTTTTAAACATAAAGTTACCAGAAAATGAACTGCAGCTAGACTGTCTCTGTCTAGAAAAGGCCATCTGATATATCAACTCAAGCTGACAATAGGTATTCCTAGCTACAGAGGTTATTTGAGCCTTCAAAGATAATGATGACTTCAGAAGCACCCTCAAACTACATATGTGTTCTTTCTGAGGAAACCATACTGAGAAGTAAGGAAATTAAATTCATAGTTACCGTATTTTTCCGTCAATAAGATGCCCCCATGTATAAGACGACCCCCACTTTTCCAACCCAAAATTAAGAAATC